AAATATGACAATTTATTAGAAGAGCATAAATTATATTTTTATATAAAAAGATTTTACTTCTCAATACATTGAATAAAAAAGAAATTGATAACTTGTTTACCTATTATAATTAAAGGAAATTATATAGAAATTAAAAAATATGTCTTACTTTGTTGTTTTAAATAAAACAACCAATGTTAGTGTATTGAAATTTGTTTGAATTTTACAAATTTTATGCTTGATTTCCAAAGTAGATATATCGATGGCTCAATCAAAAACTGCCACAAGTCAAAAAACAAGGCAATTACATTTTTGGTTCAATGGATGCAAAATATCATTACGGTTTTACTTTAAATATCACCACAAACAAAAATATCCTTAAAGATAAATCATTTAAAATGTAGCCACAAACTGTGTCTAAAACTGCATCAATTCGAGTTATTTTCTTCAAAAACACCCAAATTTTTTACAACTATGCAACAACTCACTTTTATAATCGTATTCATTTTATTTAACAGCAAAATATCGAAGCTTTTAAATAAAATATAAAGAGTATGTCAAAAACAAAATAATGATAATAGAGACTTACAAAATTTCAAAATGAAATTTCTCGAAATAATAGTATTTTAGTTGTGGCAGTATTTGATTGAGCCATCAATATGTAGATTTTATAAAAAACAACTGGTGTTTTTTAGCAAGATATTCTATTATACTCGAGAGTATCATCTATGATTTCTCTCAACTTTTCTGCTGGGTTTTCACTTGACTGATGGTTGCATTTCCAGGCAATCTAGCTTGTTGAAGAGAATGAACTGCTTGAATTCTGATATACCTGACATATCATGTACCTATAGATTCACTTTTTATAAAACTTCAGGAGTTATATTCTTCTTTACACTTCTGTAGTATTTACTTTTGCTTCTAAAATTCCTAGAATGTCGAAGGAAACCTAAAAAATAATATTTTTAAAATGTATTTTTAGTTCGATAAAGTATAATTACCTTTTATAAGTATTTGGTGTAAAATGTTGCCGGACATTCGGTTAAATGTTTATCTTCTGGTTTACAACGATTGATCTGCAATTTTTTGTTTTTATTGTAGTTTTTTTTTATTTGGTGTCATCGGCATCGACAAAGATACTTAATGAATGAAATAATAAATTTACATCAGGCATTGTAATCTGAAACAAAGACAATGGTTTAGAAAATAGTTATCTATTTTATAGAGGACCCTTACCAAATCTATTCGAATGTATAAATAATAATTATTAATAAAATAAATTCTGGATGTCGAAAAATAAACCATTAAAAAAGACAATTGACAAGAAAAACTGACAAGAAAAACTGACAAGTGACAATTGACATAAAACTAAACGTTCTGAATTCAGATTTGTAATGTTTACGGTAGGTTAACTAGGTAAATAACAAATAGAAGTTTTGCGAGGTTTTGATTTCCCTCAACAACTTCTCATGAACGTTGCATTTACGTTGTACAGTAATGTTATTACGTTCCCTTAATGCAACATCGCCGAAAGGCTTGGCAACGTTATGTGCTAGCTGGGAAAAATCTAGTATATCTCACGCCACCTACAACACCTGAAAATATGAAAGAAAGGATAGTGCAAGCTTTCCATTCCATTACACCTGATATGCTTAGAAACGTTTCTCGATCATTCGCCCAACGAATAAATGTATGCATTAGAGAAAATGGCAGACATTTTGAGCATCTTTTATAAAATGTAAATTTATGTTTTAGGATAAATTTCAAATAAATTTTATTATCGTAATTTTCTTCCTTTTGAATTTATTTTAAACGGCGACAGATAGGTATAGGAAAGTACATAGGGAAGTGGAAGGGTATGAAATTCTCCTTCAGTTGATGAATAGAAATACAGGGAAATACATTTGAAAAATTTAAAAAAATTTCCCTCGAAATTTTTGGAAAGTGAAATTAATTTGTGACCACCCTGTACAAAATAAAAAATTCAAACTTGGTCCAAAAAAATCTTTGTACAATCGTAGTTTTTTAAATTCTAACATCAAATTCGAGAGAGCACTGCATATTTTAATAAGCGTCCGAAAATGTAATATTTTTTGGTAATTTTTTTTTCTGCGAAAGGGGTGGGATTTTAGAAACAATATTTTGTGGGTATGTACTAGTGACCATAGAGTACCTAAAATTGTAAAAAAAGTTGGGTCATTCCATTAAAAAAAAAAAAATTAAGTGATTTGCCTAATTTACTATTGGGCCACCCTGTACACAAGAAAATAATTTTGGGATATTTGGTATTGGCCACCACTGACAGGTATACATCAAATAAATCGTTAAGATTTGCATAGGAGTTATAGAACTACGACAGAGGTTTGGCCAACCCTGTATATAAAACATTTTTATCACACAAGTTGTATATAGAGAAAATTTAATTTATGTGATTTGTTAGATGTACACAGGAGATTTTTCAGACATTATACATACTATGTAGGAATAAACTAGCTAGATACTGGCGTCAAATATCTTGAATTACTAATATTTGTTCTCGTGAAAAACGAATTCATGATATGGATTTTCTATTCTTACATATGTTGTTAAATGGTTGTAATATTACTTACCAGAAGTTACTTGGCCTCGGCCGTAAATTTCTAATGCGGCCGTAAAAGATCAACTCGATACTTGCAGCCTTTGGTACACAAATATCTATTTTATTTCTATAAAATTAAAAATTTATGAAAAATGTATTTCTCATCTATAAAATTGTTATTTATGATAAAGAAATATTTTAGCTCATAAGAATAAACATATAACCTGAATCGATAACAAATCACTGAATATGTTGCTAGAGTTGGGGACGTTTTTATGGAAAATTGTAATGTTACTATTTTACTAATAAAGCTACAGTTAATTTATCTTAGCATTTTATTTAAATATAAATATATTATCTGAATAATTAATGCCGCTAGTCAAGGTTTAAAGGCCTCATCACTTCAACCTTTTGATGCTTCTAGTTTATATGTTTGTGAAAAGAGGTCTCTATTAGGCTTAACAGTCTTCATTAGATCTTTCTTGGAACAAGATTACAGACTATAAAGGTAAGTTTTAACAAATTTATAAATTGGTGTCTATCCATTATAAATTACTTTTAAAGCATATAATACGTTTGTTAATTCTTAAGAAATAGTAAAATCTATTACATATCAATTTTTTTTATATTTTAAAAATAAGTAACTGCCTTAATTCCTATTTTTTGACATCCCTCGTACATGCTTAAAAAATTTAAATTTATCACTTCAAGTGGTAAGAATGCCACCTTTAGGTATAGCGGATGTTTAAATTAAAGCGTTATAGCTATATACCGTTTTTTATAAAAAAAAAAAAAAAACGTTTCAGACGAAAGTTTTATAGTTTTGTGGGGAAAAACTTTTAGCTAAAATCGTTTTTTATAGCTAACCATGATATGGCCAACTTTTTTTTCGCGCAGCAACATTTTCAAGTAGCTGTTACTCAAAAAGTAAAAGTCCAATAAAAAAAATATTTCCCTCAAAAGTTTCTTATTTTTTTATGTACTTTAATAATATGTAAGAAAAAATGGGATTCCCATTTAAAAAAACAAAGTTCACCTCGATATGGCCATATTATGGTCAGCATAAAAAAATGAATTTAGCCAAAATATTTCCCCCAAAAAACTATAAAACTTTTGTCTGAAACTTTTTTTTCTAAAATGCATATTTTCGGCGGTATTTAACTGTAACACTTTAATTTGAATACCCGGTATAATGGAAAAAGTAAATTGAATTTTTTTTTATTGTTGAGTTCAGAAATATGAATTTCTCCTGGTCATAAAATAAGTACAAGGTGGCGCAAAATAAAGTCCCCTATTTGTTTTTTATTTAAAGTATGATTAATTAAAAAACAGTCATATTATAAATGAAAAATATTTATTTAAACTCTAAAAATTTGTTTTGTTACACACTTAAAACAATATCGACCAAATGGCCACCCCCAGCATTAATGCAATAATGAGCTCTTTTTAAAGCATTTTTCATAACTTTCTCCAACATTTCAGGTGGTATTTTGTCAATTTCTTCCCGGATGTTGTCTTTTAATGCTTCTAGTGTTTGAAGATTATTTACAAATACCCTATCTTTGAGATAACCCCATAACCAAAAGTCTGCAACAGTTAAACCGGACACCTTGGCGGATATGCAATATTGGCGTTTTTCCAGATAAGGTCCAGGAAAAATTCTGATAATAGACGAATTATTTTGATAAAAAAATTTTAGGATTTCGGCACGTTCTCAAGGCTTATATCGATTCATAATTAATTTCCTAAGTATCTACTTTGTAACTGACAGAAAAACTCGAACAAATGTCAACTACAAACGAAACCATGACAACATTGCATAGGGTACTTGATTTTGCGCCATTTATATATAAAATGATTAAAACGGACCTGCAAAGGCACTTTGTGCGCCAATCTCACCAGTACTCTTGTGACCTAATGGGTAAATTCAGTTTGGTTTACTTTTGTCAATAGGGATTGTTGTTCCATTTTAAATATACAGTTTACTGATATCTACCTATAAACAATATTAACAGTGTAATTATTTGAATTATAAATATCGTTTATTACATTTGAATGAAAAATAGAGTTTAATTTTTGTAAAATGAAATTTTATGCATTTCTTTGCATTGTTCTTTAAATTTGTTATTGACAAAATATTTACAAAAGAATGTTTTGGATTCTGATGAAAAAACTATTTGATACGCCCATGGAGACCACGGCTGTCAAAAGTTCAGAGATACTGGCTTCAAACAAAGCCTATGTTAAATTGCGCCCGTAACACATCTATGTTTCATTTGTTTATCAGAGGTTGGTAATGACACAGAACAGGTAATGACATATGTCACATGTCAATTGAAAGTTAACCTAAAAAAATAATATTAAAACGTAGTTGTTATAAAAAATAAAAAGTTAACTTGTTTATTAAAAACTTTATTGAGAAAAGTGGTTCCCACCATTTATTTAACACATCCAAACCTACGATTAACAAAATATTTTCCAGGATGTTTTTTTCATTATTTCATAGTGGGTTTTAAAAAATATAGCTATTTGAAAATTTCTAAAGAATTTATTAACTTTGTTTTCGCTGGGTATTACCGATAATTTTTTGGACCTTTAAAATGATCCTATCTACATAATATATGTTAAGACCTAAAATCACTTGATAAAGAAGTAATATCTATTAAAAAACTAGATATTGAATTTATAAACAACTTTGTCTAGCTCATTTTGTACGTCATTACTAACACACCACATATTTCTAAAAAGGCAGTGGACTATCGAACAAAAAAGATAGGGATTAAAATAAAATCAATAATTATTTAGAACTTAATGATGTAAACATTAATTATCTATTTTATAGTATAGATCCGGAATTATAAAAAAATTATATATCGAATATTAGCACCTTTACTCTCCTCTCACAATAACTGTTCAAAAGAAAACAGTATCCTCGGACCATGCTCCGCACAACCTAAATTCATCTTTGCTCAATACAGCTCTCAAAAACTGCGGGCATTTCGAGGAGTATACAGCCGGCTTAACGGCATTCGCTCTCAAAACAAACTCTCTCGCGGTGGGTACAGGAAACACATTATTAATTGCGTTTCTTCCTTCCTCATATTGCTCGCCTATACTCAGATTAGTCATTTTCTGCGCCTCGCCGAACATGGAAACGATCCTACTTCCAATTTCCGAGTTGGCCCTATTTTCCACAGCGACCTCCCTTCCTGTTACCAACTTGACCACTAAATCGTTTATTTCATCATTTATTGCTCTGGAAGGGTTTAGTTTGTAATGTAGGGAATTCATTTCGGATATCAGCAGTTCAAGTGCTGCCGCCTCTTGGATAATAGCCTCGAATCTGCGCGGTTGTGGTCTCGTCTCGCGCGTCAATACTTCGCCTTTGCGTATAAGATTCGATATTTTTGCGGGAAACTGTATTTCGTCGGACGCTAGCGACTGGCACTCTTCCATCAATCTGTAGATGGCGGTGTGCGATAGGACTGGTATGATGAGCTCGCAAATCTACAACAAGGTTCTTATTGTTAATATTTTTATATCTGTAAGTGACAAAAATATTTGAGTTGGGGTACGATTATAATTTATCTTTTTAATACTATTTATGATTAGTCAATAATAAAATTAAATATATTAGTCCACTACAGTGTAAAAAGTGCCAGAGTCATGGACATATACAAAGATTCTATAACAGACCTCCTGCTTGTGTTGTGTGCTGGTTATCACAAGACAGCTGAATGTACTAAACCTCGAAATACACGTGCAAAATTATTCAACTTTTCAGAACCTTATCCTGCAAATTGCAGAGGATGTATTATTGCTAAAGAGCTACAAGAGAGAAGAGAAGAAACCTACTACTCCAGCGATTGATCCAAACCCAGTCAGATCTGGGGCATCTTTTTTACAAATGGCCCAAAATGTACCAGTAAAACTCTCATTTGCTTCATCATCGACAGATCTAACTACCTTACAACTTATACAGAGTATCATGAAAACTCTAACACGAGCTATACCCACAAAGTAAATTTTATGACTTTTAAAGATCTACGAATGTCAATGGCATTCTCAACCAAAAATATATTAGAAGTCTTTCTTAACACCCAGGCACAATTTTAAAGAATAAGCCTATTTAACCCCTTCTGCAACATTATGGAGAGAGTTATACAGGGTTGGCCAAACCTCTGTCGTAGTTCTATAACTCCTACTATGCAAATCTTAACGATTTATTTGATGTATACCTGTCAATGGTGGCCAATACCAAATATCCCAAAATTATTTTCTTGTGTACAGGGTGGCCCAATAGTAAACAGGCAAATCACTTAATTTTTTTTTAAATGGAATGACCCAACTTTTTTTACAATTTTAGGTACTCTATGGTCACTAGTACATACCCACAAAATATTGTTTCTAACATCCCACCCCTTTCGCAGAAAAAAAAATTAACCAAAAAATATTACATTTTCAGACGCCTATTAAAATATGCAGTGCTCTCTCTAATTTGATGTTAGAATTTAAAAAACTACGATTGTATAAAGCCAATAGACCAAAGATTTTTTTTGGACCAAGTTTGAATTTTTTATTTTGTACAGGGTGGTCACAAATTAATTTCACTTTCCAAAAATTTCGAGGGAAATTTTTTAAAATTGTTCAAATGTATTACCCTGTATTTCTATTCATCAACTGAAGGAGAATTTCATACCCTTCCACTTCCCTATGTACTTTCCTATACCTATCTGTTGCCGTTTAAAATAAATTCAAAAGGAAGAAAATTACGATAATAAAATTTATTTGAAATTTATCCTAAAACATAAATTTACATTTTATGAAAGATGCTCAAAATGTCTGCCATTTTATCTAATGCATACATTTATTCGTTGGGCGAATGATCGAGAAACGTTTCTAAGCATATCAGGTGTAATGGAATGGAAAGCCTGCACTATCCTTTCTTTCATATTTTCAGGTGTTGTAGGTGGCGTAAGATAGACTAGATTTTTAATATAACCCCACAAAAAATAATCGGGTTTTGTTAAGTCAGGTGATCGAGCTGGCCATTTTTTTGGACCATTTCTACCAATCCATCTATTTGGAAACTTTTCATCTAATTCATCTACCACTTCGCGTAAAAAATGCGCTGCTGCCCCATCATGTTGGTACCACATTGTTAGTCTTACAGCAAGGGAAATGTTTTCAAGTAAAGTAGGAAGATGATTTGCTAAAAAATCTAAATACATCAGACCATTTAAGTTGCCTTCAAAAAAATACGGCCCAATCACATGATCCCCAATTATACCTCCCCAAACATTTACACTCCATCTTTCTTGGCTATATGTTCTGATGATGTTAGGATTTTCCGTGGAATAATAGTGGAAATTATGTCTATTAACGAATCCGTTTTTGTGGAATGTAGATTCATCAGAAAACAGCACTCTATAAAAAAAAATGGATTTTGTTGCAGTTTAGTTTGTGCCCAGTTACAAAACACCATTCTATTATCAAAATCGGTGTCTTTCAGCTCTTGATGCAATTGTATTTTATAAGGATGATATTGATGCTGTTTTAAAATCCTTCTAACGGATGTTCTACTTATACCTACTACTTCGGCTATCTTTTGACTTACATGAGGATCTTCTATCGCTGTCAAAATTACAGATAATTGGTTATCATTATCAGTAGCACGTTTGTCAATTATTGGTTTTTTATAAGCAACATTTCCTGTTTCGGTAAATCTTTCATGTAACTTTTCAAAACTTTTTTGATCAGGGATGCGTCTATCGGGATATCGTTGATGATAAATTCTTTTTGCCAATAAACAATTTCTGTCGGATTCTCCCAAAACATAGACCATGTCAATTAATTCGTTTTTCGTAAAATTCATCAAAAATAACTTGACACTTCATTAATAAATAATCTGACACTTCATTAAGACCCAGCCTACTTGATTGAATGTTCACTTTCAATAAAACCACTGGTAGAAATTGGATTTTTGATAGATCAATGTCTTTTTGGAATTTACTTTTAAACGACGACAGATAGGCATAGGAAAGTACATGGGGAAGTCGAAGGGTATAAAATTCTCGTTTCATCGATGAATAGTACAGGGTGTTCTATTTGAAAAATTTGAAAAAAATGTCCTAGAAATTTTTGGAAATTGAAATTAATTTGTGACCACCCTGTACAAAATAAAAAATTAAAACTTGGTCTAAAAAAATCTTTGGTCTATTGGCTTTATACATTTGTAGTTTTTTAAATTCTAACGTCAAATTCGAGAGAGCACTGCATATTTTAATAGGCGTCTGAAAATGTAATATTTTTTGGTATTTCTTCTTTTTCTGCGAAAGGGGTAGGATGTTAGAAACAATATTTTGTGGGTATGCACTAGTGACCATAGAGTACCTAAAATTGGAAAAAAAGTTGGGTCATTCCATTTAAAAAAAAAATAAGTGATTTGCCTAATTTACTATTGGGTACACAAGAAAATAATTTTGGGATATTTGGTTTTGACCACCATTGACAGGTATACTTCGAATAAATCGTTAAGATTTGCATAATAGGAGTTATAGAACTACGACAGAAGTTTGACCAACCCTGTATATAACGTAAACATTTTTGTAAAAGTGACTGAAAAACTTTAAGTTGGGACCCTCAAACATTTAACGTATGGATACACGATGACGATTAATATTATTGGAAAGTCCTTTGACTGACAATAAGCACTGAATATGGCATCAAACTTCTGCTGTCAACATACTTCTCTGACTCGGTCATCACAGACGTGGCCGACTGGTCAGAGGAAAATACAACCCATCTGTCTATGATGGGCAAACTGTCAAACACATTGTAGACGATGAAAATATTAGATAGGCAATATCCAGCTTCTCTCCATTTAAATCGCCAGGACCTGACGATATCTATCCAGCCCTACTTCAGTGGGGTCTAGAAGAACTGGTGGGCATATTCAGATCCTCGTTGGCTCTGAGGTGTGTCCCCAAAAAATGGAGAGAAGTAAAAGTGGTATTCATACCCTAACCTGGAAAGGTGTATTACACTGTCCCAAAAACATACCGACCAATTAGTCTGACATCGTTTTCCATGAAGACATTGGAAAGGCTAGAACAACACCATTATACCCAAACCAACATACATGCACCCTAGGCAGATCTACTGATTCAACCATTCATCTAGCTGCATAGAGATCCCTGGACAATAAGGAGTCCGCCTTGGGTGTTTTCATAGACATAGAAGGTACTTTTCATAAAACCACCTTCCCAAAGATAATACTTATAAACTTTAGTGGACTGAATGAATAATGGTCTTAATGATCTTACTACTCTACAGGTTATGAGACTAGATATGCTGTAAATGCAATAGGTTGGTCTTGCAAAGTCAGTTTTTTAATATTTGGAGCAATATCTTGTCTACACCTTAAGTATGGAACTTTCAAGAGTTGTTATTGATAAAATTTGAAGGGCAGTCTAATTGGATGGACTGGAAGTTCCAAATAAGAATTCAGTTACAGAGTCACGATGTTATGCAAGCAGTTAATGGTACTTTGGAGCATCCAAAATATTTGGCACCGACTGCAACTGAAATTCAAAAGGCAGAATATCGACAAGCTCTCTCCTCCGTAAATAAAATTATACGGCTCATAATTTAATTGTGTCGAGCTTAAGCAGTCAGGTACGACAATTAGTTAACGTGTGCAGCAAAACAAAAGATATGTGGGATAAGCTACATAGTGTGAATGAACAAAGAACTAAACAATCAGTTCTTTAGTGACATATTGCCAAACTCGAGAAGTTATGGTTAGAATTTTAAGATGAAACCTGGCGGAAAGACAAAGTTAAACTACCCGACTCGTTATTTTTAAACAGAGTTATACCTTTCCTGCAAAATATTTCGAGTTTGCAAATGCATGGGAGTCTGTACCAAAGGATCAACGTACAATAGTTTTATTGTGTAAAAGATTATGTACAGGAGAGAGGAGCTGAAAATCTTAATACTCTACAAATACACTCACTAACCAACAGAAATATTCCACAAATGGTTAGTGAATGAATTCATAATATTCTTGCAAAGCGAGCAGTAAACATAAGTGTAGAAGGAGTGTATATAAGAGGCTTGGTTGCGAGGGGATGTCCACAAGGAAGAGTGTTATCATCTCTACTGTGGAACATGGTCCTCGACACCTTCATGAGCCGCCTCAATAATAACAGTCACTACCCGATAGCATGCTCATCTATACAGATAGCATACAAGCACTACTCACCCTGAACAGACCACGAATTTATTCAGGGTTAGTACTAGAATGTCACGAAGTTTTGTTCGAAGTATCCATCAACAATCATCCATCTTAGGATGGTTCAAAGATCACGCCACATCAAAAGATAACCATCTTGATGATTCACTAGCCAAGAAAGCAGCCAACCAAATACTTTTTGGACCTGACCCTTCTATTGGCCCGATAAGACCTAATTAAAGAACATTCCCTTGTGAAATTCAAGGAAAGA